GCTGATCTGGACAGGCTCAGCAAATGGGCGGACGAGAACCTGATGGTGTTTAACACTGAAAAATGCAAGGTTCTTCACCTTGGGAAGAAAAACCTGCAGCATCCTTATAGGCTTGGCAGTGCTACGCTGGCTAGCACCATGGAAGAAAGACACTTGGGGGTCATCATTGACCACAAGATGAACACGAGCCTGCAATGTGATGCTGCGGATACTAAAGCGAGCAAAACGCTGGCTTGCATCCATAGATGCTTCTCAAGCAAATCCTGGGACGTCATTCTCCCCTTGTACTCAGCCCTGGTGAGGCCGCAGCTACAGTACTGTGTCCAGCTTTGGGCTCCACAATTCAAAAAGGATGTGGAGAAGCTTGAGAGAGTCCAGAGAAGAGCCACGCGCATGATCAGAGGTCAGGAAAACAGACCTCACGACGACAGGCTGAGAGCCATGGGGCTCTTTAGCTTGGAAAAGCGCAGGCTCAGGGGTGATCTGATGGCCCCTTATAAGTTTATCGGGGTGACCACCAGTATCTGGGGGAACGTTTGTTCACCAGAGCGCCCCAAGGGATGATGAGGTCGAACGGTCATAAACTACTACAAGACCGTTTCAGGCTGGACATAGGGAAGAATTTCTTTACTGTCTGAGCCCCCAAGGTCTGGAACAGCCTGCCATTGGGGGTGGTTCAAGCACCTACATTGAACACCATCAAGAGTAAATTCAATGCTTATCTTGCTGGGATCCTATGACCCCTGCTGACTTCCTGCCCTTTGGGCGGGGGGATGGATGCAATGATCTTCCGAGGTCCCTTCCTGCCCTAATGTCTATGAAATCTATGAAATAATAAGGAACGGTGGAATCACAGCCAACAGCAGCTCCCAGACCTTCTTTAGACCTGTCTGTCAGTGGTGATGAACAAGTCTCCTGTTCTCCCAGATTTACACACAGCCTCTAACTTGATGGAGGCTTCCTCATCTTGGGGAAAAAAAGTTTAAAATCAGGTAGAGGGTTTGGCAGAAGTATTTTAATGGCTTTGAAAAAGGAAAAAGCATAATGGCTCCAAGTTTACAGGTGGTGGCAAGAATGTCTTCCAGTTATAACATCTGCCGAGGGCCGCTCTGCCCTCATTTTCCATCTTTGAACAGCTACAAGCCTAGCAACTGAATGACGACACATTTTAAATGGCTTTTCCTTTTACTACAGTTGACAGGAATGTCCTCATCTTACTCCCAGCGCAGTCCAGGTTTATTTCAAGAAAACCTCTCTGCTACACTGTACCTGGCTGATTGAGGTGATGCACTTAGTATTGCAATGAATTAAGAATAATCTCCCAATGCAGCACAGCAGGCCCCACTGGCTGCCTCACTTGGCTTTGCACACAAAGTTTAAGATCTTTATCGATGACATTTCTCTCCATCTTGCTTAATTTTGTTCAGTTGCTTTTTAGCTTATTACTTTCATAAAACAAAAAGGGTTTATTGTCAAGTGAAAACCTAGCGACTGCGTGCTTGCAAAAACCGGGCCAATGCATTTCTTTTTAATCAACAGCAGGCACTACTGTTTCCCCATTCAATTTTCTTATTTCCTGACTAGATGCATAGTGTTGTTCTGTCAAAGAAGGGTGCGAAGAATTTGTTCAGGAATAAAGCAGGAAAGGTAAAACAAGGATGCGGATGGGAGAAACTTTGAAGCTGTGTATGTGAGACTAGAGAACAAGGACTGCAATCAGTTGCTAAAGTCTACTGGCATGGCTCTACCGACATGCCTCCTCTCATGCTAGACTGTTTTACCCTGACCAAGGCTAAGCCTGACATCAAAGGCGGTGACCAGAGAAGCTTCCCAGTGTATCAGTGAGAAAGCCGACAGGCTGGGATGACTCAGGCCAAGACAATGTGCTGCAAGCACTGCAGGCTGTTCCTTCCAGATCAGACGCAAGGAGCAAGTCCAACCTGCCTAGCCTATGGCTAGAAGGAAGGGAATATGCTTGGAGGACTTTGTTATGTCTTGGTCCTGTGTGCTTTGTGCCTTTGGGTGAAAGAATGAGCTGAAACTTTGACATGAAGAAGTTGCTTCCCAATTGCTTCAATCAGTTGCTGTCACAGACACCTGAAAGAAAACTCTGGGCAGATTCAAGCCCAGCTATAATTGCCACTGTCTGCACCCAGGATGAAGTGTGGAATTCCACTCCCAAGTGGAAGTGGGTAAAAGCCCATGATTTGATCCCTGATGGGGTCTCCTTGCTTGACAGGACAAGGAGCAAAGGGCTCAAGTTGCAGCAAGGGAAGTTGAGGTTGGATATTAGGAAATTATCTCACCGGGAGGGCGGTGAAGCACTGGACCAGGCTCCAAAGAGAGGTGGGAGAATCTCCATCCTTGGAGGTTTTGAAGATCTGGGTAGACAAAGCCTTGACTGGGATGATGTAGTTGGGGATGGTCCTGCTTTGAGCAGGGGGTTGGAGTAGATGTGACCTCCTGAGGTCCCTTCAACCCTCATTTTCTGCGAGTCCTCCGGAAAGCACTGCAAAGGGACAGCACTGCGGTGCCAGCTCAGTATCAGGACAATGTGCATAAGCATTGTTGGTTCTTTCTATCTGGACAGAAGTTAAACGAGGGTTACTTGTCCGAGCACTGCCTGGCACAAGTGTGCCCTAGTCCTTGGTGATGGGGTGCTAAGTGATATCTCCAGCTGCTCTAATTCAGGGGGTCTCTTAATTACTTGAAAAGCTTTGACAGGTTTTTTATTTTCCATATGTATAATAGTCCCAATTCTGCTTGCAGATGCACCAGGGTGACTTGCACAAATGTCATGTGGAGGACACACATGTCTGAAAGAAAATTTTGTAGCCAATGTCCTTTTTTGATTGATGGATGCACTCTCCACACAAATTTAATGTCATTTTATAATCCCAGCATTTCAAATTTAGTCTCCTTCAGTAAGTCCATAACAAGTTGGGTTCAATTTCATAGTTTCATAGTTAGTAGGGTCAGAAGGGACCTGAGCAGATCATCAAGTCCGACCCCCTGCCACGGCAGGAAAGAGTACTGGGGTCAAACAACCCCAGCAAGGTGTTCATCCAGCCTCCTCTTAAAGACCCCCAGGGTAGGAGCCAGCACCACTTCGCTTGGAAGTTGTTTCCAGATCCTAGCTGCCCTGACAGTGAAGTAGTGCCTCCTGATATCTAGCCTGAATCTCCCCTCTGCCAGCTTGTGACCATTACTTCTGTCACTCCTGGTAGTGCTCGGGGGAACAGGGACTCCCCCAATGCCTGCTGGTCCTCTCTGACTAGTTTGTAACAGGCCACTAGATCCCCAACAGATCACTAGATTTGCAGCTCAAAATGAGATACTTGCATTTCTAACAGCTGTTAGTGCAAGGTCAAGCCAGCAGCTGAAAGGCAAACTGCTCTTTTCTGCTTTGTACAAATACCCATACCAAAAAATATCACAAACCAGCCCTACAGATAGGGAACCTGGCAAATTTGCTGAAGATGCCTGAGGCAATGCAAAAATACAACTGGCTTTCTCAAACTGCAGTGTATGGGTGCTGCAGTGCTGAGCATGGAAAAAAGGGGTTTGTCAGTAAGACTAATAGGACTTGGAAGACATGACAGAGGAAGTTTTTGGAACAGCACGTGCACGGTAGAAATCAAGCACGTGACTCAACAGGGATGGGAGTTAGATGTTTCAGTCCCTCTAAGCTGCGTAGAAAACGGAGCTCACGGTGAAAGTTATATCGGAGCTCAACTATACTTGGTCAAAAGTGATACAGATTTTATTCAACTCGCACTGCCAACTATAAAGCCCTGAACTATTATATTTTGATCTATTTCTGCAGCCTCAGAAGATCTATGAAATGAAATCTTTTTATAAAGATCTCATGGCCTGCTGTTTTTGGAGTCTTTCTACCAGCTGAAAACCAGACCTGCTGTTACTCTTTCTGGGGTTTGATTGAGCATGATGGGATTTCACATCACTGAGGTGTTCTGAAAAACATTTAGAGAGACAGCTTTCATTCCCCGCATTTCCTCATACGTTATACTAAATTCAGTTCAACCCCAGATGTCTGCCTGACAATTCAGTGCAAACAGGTTTCCTTCTCAGGTTTCCTTTAATTTTATCAGGTTCAAGCATGAAGCTTACTCAAAGTCCTTTCTCGGTACCACTCTAAATGGTTCAGGATATGCTCTTAAATCAGAGCAAACTCTTGTGCAGACACACACATGTATGTTCCAGGCATGTCATGTTTTGCATTCCTGGCTTTTCAATATCTAATTTTTTTTTAAAACACTCTGCGTGTCCTTTGAACACAAAAATTAGTTTGGATAACCATGGTGTCAGATGCATGTACCTTCCCTCTCTGTCATGGCCCATAAGACATTGGAAATGCAGAGTACTTGACATTTATGCAGCATGTGCACACATCACCTACGAAATGCTAAACATATCCAATTCATAAATGTTAATGCTAGAGCAGACTGTGACCTTGTGTATAACTCAGGCCATAGAATTTCCCCCCAGCAAGTCCATCATAAAGACTGGTGACTTGCAGTTGACTGAAAGGTTCACATCTTAAAGAAAAAATCCACTCATGATTTAAAGCAGGGGTTCCCAACTGCAGCCCGGTGCCAGGTTGTGAAGGGCTGGCTGCCAGTCCACAGGAGGGCTGGCTGCCGGTTCAAAAAAGTGACTGTGGACTGGCAAACCGCAGCCTGGAAGTGACCAGCATACTGCAGGCAGGTAGCCAACCCTTTTTTATACTGAGTTTAAAAAAGGGTTGGCTATCTGCCTGCAGTGTGCTGGTCACTGCTGGTCCATGGCTTGCCGGTCTGTGGTTTGCCGGTCACTGCTGGTCCGTGGCTTGCCAGTCCACAGCGTTAAAAGGTTGGGAACTCCCGACTTATAGGCTTTGAGTGATGGGCAGTCTACCACTTTCCTTGATCAAGAATCTTCCCTGCACTAGACTTACATCCCCCTCCATCGGGATTGAGATGTTTTGTATTCTCTCAATCTTGCACAAATTCAGGCACAAAGTGTTGCTTTAAAAAGCAATCTACTGCCTTCTTTTTGGTGAGAGAATGGCAAAATGAAGGATTATGACTCCATGTTCCTGGGCTCTGCTCCTAGCTCTGTCACAGGCGTCTTTTGCAACCTTGAGGAAGCCATCCAGAGTGCCTCAAGTCTCTTCAGTCATAAAATGGAGAGAAAGATACTTGCATACCTCACTGCGATGATGGAAAGGCATACTTTAAAAGGTTTTCCGATGTTTTGAGATCCCACCAAAACAAAACCAACCATTTTTCTAGAATCCCTCTGTCTCCTTCTAAAAATAGGGAGCTTAAAAGAAAGGGAAGATTGTTTGATAGCATGGGTAATAAGCAGTAAACTATCCATGAAGGGACAGCTGGGTGACAGAAGAGTAAGAGAGGGGAGGAACTGGGTTGGGGGTGGAAGGAAGACGGGGGAAAGAGAGCTAGATGTCATGTTTGAAACAGGCTGGGAAATGCTGCAATTCACACTCAAATATAACAGCTTTGCAATTATCAGCTTTTCCAGCTGTGAAAGCTTCTGATTAGGTTTTATATTTCTGCAGTCTATAAGTACATGTAGATATTTAGATACGTAAAAAAGATTGTACTGTTTGCTTTTGACATATTTAAAAATCAGGTGTAAGAAAGGAAGCAGATGTGCTTGTTTTCAAAACTGAAAGTCATAAAAAACAGTGCGTGAAGGTTTTACGCTAACTGAGATTCAGGAAGGAAAAAGTAATATTTCAGTGGGGTTACATTCAAAACCAAGGCAACACGTAGTCTGTTGGCAGCTAAGCTACATACTTAGCAAACCAAGAGCAGCAGATGATTAAATATCATTATACCTGTTCCATTGCAAAACATTTTTAGGTACAACTAGGGCCTCTTAAAGCACTTACTGTATTAATGACATCAGGAGCACATCGTAAAATCTAAACAGCTAGTTTTATGCCAGGAGATAGAGTCAGGCAACTTATTCAGTTCCAGGAATCTCAGAATTACTTCCCACTCGAAGCAATGAATAAGATGATAAAATAAGTAATGTGCTTCTTACAGCAAAGACCTACCCAAGTTGTTGCAGAACTCCCCTACCATGCCGTCAGGGTTAGCCGTGGGAATTTGGGTAAGGCCGGTCAGAATGAGGACATCGCTGTTTTTCAGAGAAGCCTGGTCCATGGGCTGAAAAAGATCATTCATTGCAAAGTAAATTCAGTAATGTTAAGACTTACAGCACAGGTTCTCGTTCAAGAGGAGGACTGGCAATACAGAACCTAGGCACAATGCTGCCGAGGGAAGGATGATGGAACATTTTAAATTTCTGAGCATTGTCCTTTGAGGTAATGCAGTTCAAGATAGTCAGAAGCATAAAGCACTGCTAACTTATACCTCCCGATAGCTGCAATTTATTGACCTATAACTGGATCCCTTAGATCACGGGTTGGCAACCCTTGGCACAGGTGTCAGAGTGCGGCACATGAAGGTATTTTGCTTGGCACATACGCCTTGGGGTGGATGGTGGCTGAGGGGCCGGGGCTGCACTGCCACAACAAGGATCAAACCCCTTGTGGTTCCCCTGCTGTCAGGTTGGAGGCATGTGTGCACCTGCTGCTGGCAACAAGCTGGGCTGGGACTGCAGATCATGGTGCAGCTGTTTACAGCCGCCCAGCTGCCTTACACAAGCAGCCGTGGACACATAGCAGGCAGCAGGAGCCTTCTCAGAGCCCAGGCTGGCTGGGGCAGGCAGCCGGGAAGCTGCAAGCAGCTGCATGCGCACATAGGACAGATGGTGGGGGAGCCATGATGGGCCCAATCCTTGTTGTAGCAGCACATCCCTGACCCCCCTTCCCCACCATCTTCCCCAAGGTGAGTGTGCACCTGCTGTTGGTATCAAGCTGGGCTGGGGCTCAGCAGACCCTGCTGCAGCTGCTTGCATCTCCTGGCTGCCTGTGATAGCTGGCTTGGACTCTGGGCAGGCCCCTGCTGCCTGCCACAGAGCCCAGGCTGCTTGCAGCAGGTAGCAGGGAGGCTGCAAGCAGCTGCACCGGGGTCTGTAGAGCCCTGGCTCAGCTCGTTGCTGGCAGCGGGTGCATGCATGCCTCCGGGCAGATGGTGGGGAAGAGGCTAGGGCTGTACTGCCACAACAAGGACCAGGCCATCCATCCCCTGCCATCCTTCCCTGGCACACCATCATTGTCCAAGTAGAGGTTACAGGTGTTTTTGACACTTTGCCCAAAAACATTGCCGACCCCTGCCTTAGGGAGAGGTATCCCCAGAGACTACTCATCCTCTAGCCGTAGAACTTGAGAGCACATCTGAAACATTAAAGACTAGACCTTGCTGAAGACTGTGCACAGGAGGCATTTAACACTTGAGCGTTACAGACTGTGCTAGCTCCCCATTAGTTTGAGTGCAACTCAAGGTGCAGCTCTGATCTACAAAGCCTGATGGTTTAGGGTCCTGGCATCCCAGATTCCCCCAACCACCTCTCTCTGCATTCCAGCTAAAGCAGGTGCAGTCATCTGGGACCTTGAGCTCTGAATTTTTGTGTGCTGGAGATGTGGAGTCAGGGCAGGGGCAGCAAAACATCTCCAAATACAACATCAGCTTCTGCTTCACTGAGAAAAAGCCAGAACTTGGTGACTCTGAGACAAGCCAGGAAGGGTTATTTATTGATAGAGACCTTATTATAGCATTTTGATTTTTTTAAAACTATTTTAAAGTTGATTAATTCATTAATAACCAACTATTTTAATTATAATTATATTATATCATTATAAAACTATTTTAAAGTTGCTTAATTCATCTGGGAAAAAAAAAAAAAAAAAAATCAGTAAGAGCTGAGAAACCCAAGTGAACTGATATAGACATAGCATCGTGTCTGCAATACTACAGGCAGCGAATGAAAGGAGTAACATATACAGCACAGATCCTTTCAGTGCTGAACCTTCTTCCAAGATGTGATCAAAATAGCGTAAGAGACTCCCCTCAATAATTAATATTTTCCTGAAGCTTGTGCTTGAGGCCACCAGCTTAAAATACAAGTTCTCAAAATAAGTGAGGTCTTCCAAATGATGCGGCATTCTGATCCACTGCGTCTGTACCATGTATTACATTACTGGCTTACCACCCCAGGTACAAATTACTTTGGACTAGACAGACAGGACACTCAGATGTCAGGTCCTATTGGCTGCAGTTGTGTGTGACATCTAGTATATATAACATTCCTGTTACGTCTCATTCCTAGCAGACAGGGGTTTAGCTCAATCCATTTGTTGGCAGACTTGGCAGAGAAGCTGACAACTAATGGGCCATTGAAATGAATGGATATTTCATCCGGTACAGAGTCCCTCTAGTAAGTTTTGAGGCACTTTGGCAAGGCAGCATAATGGAAAGCTTGTATTGCCATGGTCTGTCCTGGGCACAGAGTACTCCAGTTACTAGGGCTGAAGATGGAACACCCTAGCAGCATTAATTAAAGCAGAATGGAAATGAATGACCTCTCCTGCACCTCATTCGAGATACATGGAAGTTTGGAGATTATATTTACGAGGGTGCTAGTACAGGATACATGGATCCCCAATACCCAAAACTCAATACAACCCAAACTGCTATGGCAAACTTTATCCAGAGCAAAAGCCACTGCCTCCCCAAGGCCTGGGCAACTGAACTGCATGGCATGGTTGGGCTGGGGTTCTGAAATCTCTCTGTTCTGGGCTCTGCTACGGGCCACAATGCAGCTCCAGCAGTTATGGTCTTCAAGCCTCTGGGCTAGGAACGTGTACAGTACAAACAGGGGCCAAGGATTCTCCAGTGTAGATCTACGGCACGTCCCTTGGCCTCCGAGTGATAAAAGGTTTTTGTCAGGCTGTGCGAAGCTGATGCGTGGACCACGATGAGGACCCACAGGGTCTTCAGCATGGCTCCCTTCCTCACAGCTACCCAGGGCAGCGTGTGCAAAGGTGTAAAGGACGTTGTAGTGCCATGAAACCCACCAGTGAATTTTATCCCTCGACTCTAAAGGGAGCTGAGAGGTCTTGCTGCCATGCATGCAGGACCAAACCCGTCACGGAGGATCTACAGGAGCCTTTGAATTTGCACAGTGTGCCTGTGGAAATGAAATGCCAATACTGCAATAAAAATAATATCGAGTCTGTCTGTGATAATGTACAGAATGATTAGGCCATATTACATACACATAATTTCAACTCCTATTGCACTGTGAAGGCTTGCATTGATTTTCTGGGGTTAATGCAAAGAAGATGTCTTAAAAGGCTTTTAGTGACACTTCTGAACCCAAGCTGTCACCTCAAATTCACAGCTTCAGTGCCTATTGGCAATTGCACGCGATTCTGGTATTGATAGGCAACAAGACAACGTTTCACTGGAACACTTTGTCAGAACATAAAAGCAAAGAGTGAAATTTGTAGCGTCAGGTCCACATCTCAAATAAGCGCTTGTAAAGCCTTCAGCTGTACCACAGTTGTGAATGACATCTGTCTGAACACCTGGGCTTGTATGTCCCATCAAGGTGCTTTGAGTACCTCAAATGAGGCCTCCTATTTTCTACAAAGAGGACCACAGTCTCTATCCTTGTGTCCACATGAAGGTGAATACGTTGCAGTTCTTTAGGAACTAAGGATGCTGGATAGGCCTGGGCAATTTAAACCTCACAATCCAATTTAAACCTAAGAAGCCAAGCCACGAGTTGGCCAAGATCTGTGGTCGACTGATCTGTATTTGAATAACTCTGGACCTATCGCGGAAATTCCCTAAGACCAGCAGAGTGCTACTGTTTTGTCAGTATTCAAAATAATCAAGAAAGATAAACCTGAGTAACTATAGGCTGGTTAACCAGGTATCTTTCTCAAGCAAAATAACTGAAGAAACTAATACAGGATTCTATTGACAACAAATTAAAAAAGACAGGAAGATAATGAATGCCATTAAGCAGGACTTCATGGAAAACAGGACTTGTCAAACAAACCCTCTTTCATTCTTTGATGTAATTACATGTTTTCTGGTCAGCAGAAGGTAGGGCAGGGTGGCACCTTAAAGACTATCTGGTTCAGAGAGACACAAGCTTTCGTCGGCAGTAGCCTACTTGGTCAGATGCCAGCATAAAGCATCCTCCTATATATGCACCCCAACATCAGTGTCTGGCTCATCTCCATCAGTCTCCTAGATCCATTCTTCGCCTAATGGCCGTCTTCCCCAGATAGGAAACCTGCATCTCTGCCCAGCCCCTGCACTGAAATCCTGTCGTCCCAATTGACACTGCCTCTCTCTCTGCCTCCTCTGCACCTCCAGCATCTGTTCTGCTCCTAACAGGAACTGCAATTCCTTCCCCAGTCCCCAAGTTAAGTTTGAGCCCTTTGGTCCATTTCCCCCACAACAATTATTGTCCATTTTCCAAAGCTCTCCAGCATCTCTGCTTGTCCCCTCTCACAACTTCCTGTGTCTGAATCCATGAGAACGGACGTAGGCAGCTGGATGAGTCAGGGGCAAATGTTGATGTTGGGAACTACATGCTGGAGGGCACTTTATGCTGGTATCTGATGAAGCAGGTACCCAGTACTAAATGAAGATCTCAGGAACAAGGTAGAGGAATGACAGCTATGCTTTATCAACTAGAGCAACTACAGCCAGGAACAGATAAACGCTTGATGCAATGGGAAGGAGGTCCAGCGTGTATAGCATGGATGATAATGGCAGCAGCAGAATAGGTGAGTAAGTTTAACAGAGCAAAGCAACATAAAAAAAGAAGCAATGTTAAGGCTGCATCATTAAAATTTGGAAATGAAAGAGTTAAGACCCTTGTAGCACTGTTAAATGTGGCCATGTTGCACATCCTGTATATCTGTGGTATACATTTACAGCAAGAAACACTAAAATAGAAAATACAGTTGAAATAGAAAAAAAAGTTTCCCCTGCTAACTAAATACCACAGAGTATGTAGGATGTGCAGCAATACTCCTGACACTGCTTTCCTGACTTCTTAATGCTAAAAGCTTAAACCTAGTATCACACCTTTGTATATAATTTTATGCATTTATTTCCAATTTAAGGCAAAACACACATGGAGGCCCAGGTTTAAGGGTTGATACACATTGCATTTAAATGCCATGAGTGCATCTAGGAAATACTCATTCTTTAACCTGACACTTGGTTTATGCAGTTTTTGGAGACAGTGAATCATTACTCTACTAAGTCAGCTAGGAGAAGCTGTGTCAGCTCTTTGCTCACGTTTTGCCCCCTACTCTTCATCCGTCTCTAAACCGTAAGATTTTAGGACATGGCTGTGTTTGACGAGGAGGCTGGACTAGATGACCTTGAGATCCCTACTTTCCTACAATTCCTATGACTGGGGTTTTTGGGGGTTACCAGACATATTTAAAACAACAAGAACTGCTAGAGCTTCTTTCCCAGGAAGAGACGACAGACCAGAGACTGGCTTAGACCTCACTCTCTGCCAAGGAGATTAGTCAGACAGCTTTGGGGATGATCTCCGGGAGTCAAAGGAGCAACAAATTCACATATGCATCTTCCATCTGAATCATCTCATTCAGAAACACAAATCCAACCACCATCAACAGACCGGTCTCTTTGTGGCCAAACTAATATCTCTGCTTCTCCTTCCAAAACCTCTTTGTGGATGCTTAGCCACCAGAGACTCAACATAGGTACTACACAGAGCTCTCACCCCAGTCCCAAGGGCTCTTCTCACAGCACCCGATGAGACCATGCTGCCTGTCACATCGGCCCATAACCTTAGTGCCTTTGACTCAGACCTCTCAAGGATCTAACTTCCAGGCTGTTTAAACATTGCCACTGTTTTGATCAGTCTACAACACAAGCTTTTAGAAAGTGCCAGGGTTGTCCACACGTTCAGCACCTGAAGTCTTGACTACTACATACCCATTTCTCTGACCTCGACAAGTGCAATATTGCCCCACTCATGTGAATACTATGGCAAGACCATTTTCCTAGCTCATCCGTGCGTCCCTGATACTCCACTCTCTACTTTTCCTTTGACTTCTCTCTCTTCCATACTTCAAACATAAGCTACCCGTTTCCATTTACAAGGCCTCCTAAACTTATTCATTATCAAGAGACTGACTCTCATATCCCACTGGCTGTGATGCTAATCTCATCTCTCCCTTGTTACATTTTCAGTGGACACTCTCTGGCTTTATGCTTGGCAGCAAACACCTACACCAACCTACCTTGATCTTCCACTGGGCCGAAAAACCCTACATTCAACCCCATTTGGCCATGGGAGATGTAAGACTTGGTGGAAGGATTCAGGGCTGGCTAGTGGTGGCTTAGTGTTAGTTAAGCTGCACAGACCAGCTCTCGTCACACAAGCTCTCCCATGCCAGGAAGTTTTTACACGCGCTCAGGGTGCAACTTCCAAAATGTTCCTGATATTTGTTAACTGCCAGCCAATTATTCAAGTCCTGGGCAGGCTCCACAGTAACTGGAACGCATATTCCAGGTTTCCATTTCTGAAGTTTGTAGGTGAACAGAAGTGTGACAAACCTCTACAGTAGGAAACCTATATATTTTTTTGCCTCTCCCCCACTGCTAAGTGACGGTGTCCATGGAATTTCAAGGGATTTTCCTCATTGTTTCCAAAAAACAAAATGTCACCTTTGGACAAAGATGACACATGGACAATTATATCCGAATAAATGGGGCTTGTAGCAGCACAGGGCTGAACCCACATCTGGCATTCCTTGAGAGCAAACAGGAAACCAGACTGAATTATGCATATACCATGGGTCAGGAAGGGCAGGCCAAAATTACCCAGCTTGGTCACTTCCAACCTGGCCACCTGGCTACCGATGCCTCTCCCCATTATTGAAGCCTTGGCTTTGCAAGCTGGATAGACTGGCTCTATGGGCTGAATCCAATCAGTGGGCCACAGATTGCTGACCTTTGCCATACCGCATACAGACTTTCTCCTTGCAGTGTCCCATTCAAAGTATTGCCAGTGATCAATGGCATTTCCCTTTAAAGTCATGAAAGATCATAACCCAAAACAGTGTGATGGCTTAGGATATAAAGAATAGAGTTAGACAGTCCAGTATGTAATACTCCATAAATATAGTTGCTTTAAATAAAGGGTATGAAAGTTTATCTACAGTAGTTGGTCAGCTGCTGAGAGCAAGCTTTTAAAAATGCATGTACTAAAAAATGGGGGCATTTTGCAGACACTTAGGAGATAGTTACTTAGTGATCATGAGCCTAACTTTTTTTCTTTTACTATTATTATTTTTAAATACGTCCTGTTAATATTGCTCTTAACCATTCTATGCTTCATAAGTTGTCACTTATAGTGTTGAAAACTTCTAGCCATTCTTTCCTCTAAAAATTTATGGATCTTAAGAGAATTAATTTACTGGAAATTACATCTGCAGCACTATAAAGACTTTGCCCTTAGCAGAGAAGGGTGGAGATGCTGGCAGCCAGTTAGCCATCATTCCTTCCAAGGGAAGATATTTTAGAAGTGATAAAGCAGCAGCCTCTGAACCAGCTTTAAAGCCAATTCAGTGAAACACAGGGATTTTTTTTTAATGCTGTATTGTTTAACAGGTTAATAATGAGATTAATTTGGCTTTTTAAGTTATGGCAGGAGACTTTTACAACAGGAAATTAGGCTAAAAATTTAGTCTCTGGTAAACAAAGAGGAGGAATGTCTCACCACCACCAAATGGATGCTGGTCCACTTTAACAGTAGCAATTGTTGCTCAATGCATACCAGGAAGTCAGTCACCAACTTAGATGGGGAACTCCTATACACTGCACAGCACCACCCAGTGAAGGGCCCTTTCTTTCATGAGCATTACAATTCACCTCCCAAAATTCAATAGGGAGTTAGTACCTGTGGGTGTGTTGTAAGTAGGGAGGATCCTGAAACATAGGAAACCTTTTCATAATGCGATTGTATAATCCAGTTGGAGCTTCCAAGTGCATAGCCAGAGCTGAGAGGAGTGACCTGCACAGCGCCAAACAGCTCCTGGGGTGGGGAGAAACAGACTTCAGAAGAGAACAGACACAAGCTCTTGTTCTGACCATCACCTCCAGTGGCACTGACAACTAGATGATTTCAAAAACATCTTTTCACCATTTCAAATGGTGCTTTCTGTCCTTTGAAAAACTAGATCAGTTGCTGTTAATCTCTCCCCACCCCAGTTTTAGCAGAAGGCAGCTATCTTTGGGCTCCACATTCTGCAGGAGGAAGGTTTAAATTTAGAGACAAACCCACCCTCCCACCAATGCTATTTCTATTCAAACTCTTATCCACAGATGGTGTTAGAACAGTCTTTTTTTTTTTTTGCCTGTAAAACAGCCTAAATTCTGAGCGTGAACTGCTGGGCAGCATTCCTTTATTGAACTGTTCCCTTCCCACTTGTTACATGAAGCATATGTGTTTGGCTATATGCTGTGAAGTGTGACACAAGGCAGAAACCTTTGAGTTTAAGGAGGGAGAATAAGCTGCTATGGCCACTTGACCAGTGTGCCTCTGTACCCTCTAGCTGCAACCTCTGAGAACGGATTCGTGGCATGTTCAGGCTCTCTCAACTATTCCAATGTGTACTAGATGTATCCCAAAATGAGACACCATCCCAAACCCAAGAGCTCACAGTCCCCAGGTGTATGGAATTTGCAGAAACAAAGGGATGTAAACTGGATACTGTAAATGACTGACTGGGCATTTGATGACTCCAAGAGTAAACAAGTGGGCCAAAGTCCACTGACATCTCCCAATTAAACTGTAAACCCTCTATGCTATGCAGTGGTCACACAGGGCTATGAGCAAAATTTGAATCCTAGTAGTTCAACTTTGTGCTCAAGGTGCAAAAGGGGATGGAAACTGTATAACTTGAACCAGAATACTTGAACACTTCGGTGGCTGCCTCCAGAGATGCTTCCTTCTAAAAAGGCAGACTGCAGAATTTTTTAGTTTAATTCACTTTAAGGGCCTGCACTAACTTGTGACACAGCAAATGCTAGTTCAGGACCCTCAGAGTAGAGCATACAGATAGACTGCCCCATGGAAAGGGCTCACACAGTCCCCAAATCACTGTGCAGAGTGGCAAACACAGAGGCAGAGCTGCCTTGCTGATCTCTAGCAGCATGAGGGGCTGCCAAGAAGGGGTACAGTTAGGGGCAGCAAAGGACATAATAATTCAGTACATCTCCCTAGCTTTTAAGTGGCCTGGGTGCAGAGAGTAGGAGACAAACAAAGGCATTTCCATCATGGTTATGATGGTGGCTGTGTCACTACTCACAATTTTCTGAGAATACCCCACCAGCTGGATCTTGCTGAGTGCAGAGTTCACCTCGGGCATAGTGTAGCATCTCCTCCAGGTAGATACCTCCACTGCATCCTTCAGAGGGGCAGGCAGCAGTCTGCAGAAACCAGATCAAGGCATTTTCAGGATTGCTTGTTGGGCTCCCTATTTGCCTTTGCTGTGTTTTTAGCTCTTTATGCATTGACTGATTAACTCTCTGATGTTTAACCACATTTCAGAGCCTGGCCATTTTTCCTAGGATGGAGGAAAGGTAGAGATGCATGGTTTCCTAGCCAGTGAGAAGCAGGGTAGGATAAGGACTCTAGCTTGGACTAAATCTGATCTGTCGCTGCCTCCTTGTCCCAGAAACCACCTCCAGCCTTCTCTACCGATAGCCTCCAACTCCTTCCTGTTCAAGGAAACAGTGAAAGGTGAGTTGCATCACCAGCAGCAACACTGTCACCACAGATTAGAGTCAGTGGCAGATCTGAAATGCTGATATGCTGCAGTCTTATAGCTGAAGGTGTGGTAGAATTTGGCAGCGATGACAACATTGTGGATTCCCCTGTAAACAAGCCATCTTTGAAGGCAGGAGTCTGAGCACAAAGAAGCATGGACGTGCAATTAAGGCAGAGGATCCAGAATTTCAGTAACCCTCACTCCATTCTCAGCTTCCTTACAATGTCTTTACGTGACCGTGGGCATCTGACCCTTCGTTGCAAAAGAGGGTCAATACTTACCTCCAGAGAGTACTTGCAAGGATAATTAAATTGGGTTAGGGACAAATGTACACATTAAAGTAAGTTAAGAGGGCAAGGACTTATGGCATGTCAGATGCTCCACCATAACTGTGCCTCCATTCTGCAAAAGTGAAAAAATTATCTGAGGTGCCTCGGTCTTCAATAAAAAAGGGCAACTTTCCCCCCACTACTATTTCCTGAAGCATGAAGGGAACTGAGGTCAACTAGAAGAGGAAGTCAGAGCTGTTCTCCAGGGGTAAGAAATTTAGCTTCCACTTACTGCTCAGTAAAAGCAGGCACACAGACACTTACCATGGGGCAGATGATGCATGAAAACTCTGTCCTCTTAACTCACTGCATCTTATTTGTCTGTTTGTAGCCTTGTCGCAAAGCACTCTGAGATCATTGCCTGAAAGCACTAGGGGTGTTTTGAATCAAAAAACCCAAACCAAAACCAGTACCCATTCTTTTTCACGCACATCCTATGTTTTTGCAGGTTAGCTGGGTAGCCTTGTTGAGGAAAGAAGTGAACTGTAATGTCACAGTCTGAAAGAGGGATGGCCAACTTCTAAGAAATAAATCTTTCTTAGCAACATGCACTAAGGCAGGATGCAGCAGAGCTGCCAAAAGCACAAGAAAAATGGGGGTTTTTTTGGTATATTAAACCAACGCTAAATCAAAGGCTAATTCAAAGCAATTTCCCATGATTTATGGAAATTGGTCAAGTTTCTTTGATCAATTTGTTTAAAGAACTTTTAATTTACTGTTTTTATCTGCTAGGCCAGCAAACTCTTCCATAACTTAAGATACTGAAAAATGGATTAAGGCCACTTCTTGCCTGAGCGCTGAGGAGCAGTATATAAGTTGGTGCTGGGCATCTGCTCTTCAGAAGTCACCCTACCAGGATTTACTAAATCAGTATAAGAGAGATCCTAGCTGAGTTCCTAGGGACCCTCCAAGAGCCTGTTCAGTTAAAATAAAATCTATAGGTAATAAAACTTGATAAGTAATTAGTTCAGACTGACTCTAGTAATGGGAAAAATGTAAGCCACTCTAATGAACTTATATTTTATACAGTATTTGCATTTAAAATGCGTTGATGCTTTATCTAATGGAGATGATAATACTTTGTATTTTATACTAACTACTCAGGGTAAAACTAGCTGAGCTATAAAGTAAAAATGGTGATTGATCAGCTTGAAAATTTAAGGTTAGACTCAACAGAAATAAGTATTCTGTTCCAGCACCAGTCAAGTATTTTTGAATTTTGAAATTCAACAAGGATAGGATCCTTTCTGAATAATTGATGCCAGTCTAACCCCAAGTGCATTATTAATCAGGTATTAATTTGTAGACTAGTGGATGTTTGTTATAATAATCAGTTTCATTTACACTTATACGGCACTTGTCACCTGAAATCTCAAAGCACTTTGCAAACGTTAATTAAGCCCCACAACACTCCTATACAGTAGTTATCTCCCTTTTATAGAGGCAGGGAAAGGTTAAGTGGCTTGCCCAATGTTACAACATCATACAGTGGTAAAACTGGGACTAGAACAGAGAACTGGTGCTCTAAGCTTTCCCTTTAACTAGCAGATGACACCTGCTTATATTAGTCACAAGGTGTAGGTTAAATATAGCAGCAGCATCCTAAAACACATCAGTAACAGAGCCGTGCGAAGCTTCGGGTGGCGATTCGATTTGGAGGAGATTTGGCCTGATTTGGTGGCCGACTCGAATCAGGGGACCAATTTAAAGGTCTGAATTGATTCAAAGCTCCCCGAATCTTTGGAAAAGATTCAGAGAGCTTTGATGATTTGGGCAGTCCCTGGTGGCTGCAGCAGGGAGCTGCAGCTGGACTCGGAGCCGATAAGCAGTGAGTGGAGGAGGTAGGCTGGGGGAGGGGACCATGGGGGGACCCCCGCCAG